AAGAGTGTTGTTGAAATATACTGTGGGGCCTTGGTGAAACAACTGAAAAACCAAACAGTCTTGAATTTTAAGAAAAATAGAGGCTGTTACTTTTTTCTAATTTCAGATTTTGCTTTTTACTTAGTGGACATTCTGTTCTGCTCTCAAAAACATCTGATTTGGGGTTAAACAGGCAGCTGGAGGATGTTTACAGCTTTGAGGCTTTGAATAACTTTCCATATGATGGGAGTAACTCTAAACAATGTTTGAATAATTAACTGCTACAACCTTATGTTTTATGGGCATCCGTCCTCTGAATCTTTCTTACTAGAATACTGTAAAAAAAATGTTTTCTCAGAAGTATTTATATTTATGCTATTTTGCTATGAATGACCTTTGTATTTTATTATATACATTAAATAATGTATACACAGCTTTGTCTTCATGTCTATTTTTTGCCTTCTTTTCATGTTTTTGTTCTCTACGATAATTCATTTCCTTCATGGTTTTTAAACTCTGGTTTAAAAAGTAAAATTGATCTATTTAGAATATGATTAAAGTGGCATTTCAAACCAGTGAGGAAAGGCTAACCAATTTTATAAATGATGTTGGGAAATTTTGCAATCCATCTGGAAAAAATAAAGCTAGATTTTTATCTCATGCAATATATAGAAATAAATTCCAGATGGATTAAAGATCTAAATGCAAAATGAAAACTATAAATATTAGAAGAAATTATGGAATGTGTCTTTAGCATTTGGGGAATGGGAAAGACCTGAAGCAAGACATGAAACTCAGAATCTACAAAAGAATATATTAACAGATTGTTACATACAAGTTTAGCATTTCTAAATGGCAATAAATAAATAAATAAATAAATCCATCACTATAATCATTATTGTGATTGTTTCTGGAGAAAGGGGTCAGTGCAATCTGACAAGAGAAATGAGAATGATAGAAATTTGATAGGAGAAGCCAAATTGAAATTTATGCATGAGACTAAGTCTAGAACATCCAAAAAGCATATTAAAACCAAAGAAACTGGGGGAGGGAAGCAAATGGCAGCAGTAGTAAAACACGATACTCTGTGAGGCTGACTCACAAGGAAAGGTTCTGGGTTTGCATCCAGAGACCTCCCTGAGTATGTCAGGCACATGCAGACCCATGGACCAGGGTTGGCTGAGTTTGGGAGGACTGTGGTACCAAGACCCTATTGGGGATGCTATCTCTGTCTCTTCTACCTTTCTTTGTCTCTCTCTCTCTCTCTCTCACTTAAGGAAGAATTAAATAAGTAAACTTTTAAAAAAAACTAAGGAAACCATTAAAACCAATCTGAAATGACACAAAAATCTATAGCTTTTCTAAATATGAACATCACATAGGACATAAATGTAAAAAAGATATTTCCTTTATAATACAAACTAAACCATGAAATACATAGAAATAAACTTTAAAAAATGTACAAGAGCTGTATAAAAATAGTTTAAAACTATGTCGAGGGCCATAAATCAATAATTTAACAAATAGATATATTCTATTAGGGATGGTAAGAAACCTTGATATTTTAAAAAGTATTCATTTCCCCTAAATTGTTCTATAAATTTAACACAATTTCCAAAATTATGTGAAAGAGATTTTTATTTTTAGCAATAATTCAAGCCAATTCTAAAGATTTTATGATGAAAGCTTGGGAGAATAATTGGAAATACTAAAGTGAAGAGAAAGGAGAGAGAACTTTCAGTATATTTCAAAATACAGTTAAAGCAATTGAGAGAATTTGGTCTGGCACATGCATAGGCAGGCAAAAAAAAATTGACAAGAGAAAGGTTAATAAGATTCAGTTACATAAGAGATTCTGACAAATGATAAATCACATGGTGGGAGTATATTATTATAAGTGATTTTGGTTTTGAAAACTATTAAATTAGATCCCTACTTTAATCCTTATATCCAAAATATTTCCAGATGGATCAAATAATTAAGCATCAAAAAAAAAAAACTTTTGTAATTGCAATGATAGACTTGACTTCTTGAGCAAGATATAAAAACCAGAAGCCATAAAAAATTATCAATTTTTATCTCATTTTTTTGGAGAGATTTATGCTATAGGGCATGTATGCTCAGCACACATATAATATATAATCTCCATGCTATATGTATTTTCATGTGCTTTTGAAAAAAACAGAGAAAGACAGAGAGACAGAAAGTGAGAAATCATCCCCCTGGGAGGATGGCTATGCCGCAATCACTTCGCCATTTTCTCGGGATCTTGGGCATGCACACACACGTGCCCGGTGTGAGTTTAAGACACTGGGTCCAGGACTCAAACCACAATTGACTACATGGAAGTCCAGCAACATAGCTATTACGCCAACTGCTGGTCCCTTTAGCTCAATTAATAATTTTAGTATAAGCAAACTCAAAAGTTGGAAAACAATCTGGGAAAATATATTTGCAACAAATGTTAATAGCATTAGTTTTCTGTTTAAACAAGCAGCACTTACAAATAAGAAAATAAGTAAAAACCCTTTGGCAAAATAAGCAAAAGATGATAGGATTCATTCGAAAAGAATAATTAAGGAAATGCAGATAAAACCATAATGAAATAAGACTTTTAAAATGTGGACGAAAGGCCCAGCAGATGGCATAATGGTTACATCTCTGGACTACCATGTAGTCAACAAGCAGTTTGAGTCCTGGACCTGGCAACTTAAAACTCACATTGGGTGCGTGTGTGTGCGTGCCCGAGATCCTATGAGGAGAATGGAGGACAACGAATTGCCACATGATCATGCCCTGGGGAGGTGATTTCTTGATTTCTGTCTCTCTGGCAAGTCCATGCACCCTATAGCAAATATCTCTCTCTCAAACATAAATAATATCACCCTCATAAAAAAAAAAAAAAAAAAAAAAAAAAAAAAAAAAAAGATGTGAACTAAACTACAAGGTAACCAGTTTTTCATTTACTAGCTTGGCAAAGATCCAAAAGTTTTTTAGAGTGCTGTGTTAGATGGGAATCAAGGAAGTAGGAGTTCCTTTTTTCTTTTTTTAAGTATTGTTTTTGTTTTGTTTTGTTATTTTGTTTTGTTTTGTTTTTTGGTTTGTTTCAGAAGACAGAAAGAGAGAAAACAGAGAGAGAAAGACAGAGAAAAACAAGCATCCTCAACATAGTCTCACATCACAATCCTCTCAGCCCTTCCAGCCAAGTCATGGTCATATGTACACGTCTGGAGTGTTGACCTGGGATCCAAACTCTGAGCTTCCATGTGACTTCCAGCATCACAGAGCATTGTGCTACAGTTATGCTATTTTTGTTGCGACAGAAGGAGATATTCTCATTTATGGCCAGTGAGGGTATGACTTGGTATAACTCCTCTGGAAAACAATTTGGCAATGGCAGCCAGCGTTAAGAAAAAAAAAAGAACATTTATCACCTGACCTACCAACTTAGCTTCTAAGAATGTATCTTACAGATGCATGTGTGCAAAAATATGTGTATAAGACTGTTCAGTATTTTCTACAGTAGCAGCATAGTGTCCATAAATACAGTCATGGTTAAATAAAGGAACCTCCATGCTATACATATTTTCATGTGGTTTTGAAAAAGAATGAAGTAGATCCCTAAGTGTCAATAAAGAACAAATGCTTAGATATTTTGTGTAAGAGTGCAAAACAAGTTAGTATGGGGCCAGCCGTTGGCATAATGGCTATGTTGCTGGACTCTTATGCAGTCAACCGTGGTTCGAGTCCCGGAACCGATGGCTTAAACTCACGCTGGGCACATGTGCATGCATGCCCAAGATCCCAAGAGAAGAATAGAGGAAAAGGGATTGCAGCGTGGCCATCCCCCCAGGGGTGGGGGATGATTTCTTGCTTTCTGCCTCTGTCTCTTTCTGTCTTTCTGATGAGCACACACGCCCTATAGCAAAAACCTCTCTGAAAAATAAATAAATAAACAAAAACAAGTTAGTATGTCATTCTCTTTGTAAATATTACCTATCTCCTCACAGTGACTAATAAACGTAAAGGATGCTCAAGCTTCTAATAATTGTAGATATTCCTTTCTTTTCTTCTTTCTTTCTTCTTCTTTTTACTTTTATGCTTTTTATAGCTTATATTTTTAACATTATGCATTACCTTTGTAATTCAAAAAGTTAATTATAAATAAAAAGA